GAAGTCGTTAAGGCCTGCGAAAGGCATTTTGAGAGCGGTGGCCGCATAGTTTCGGCTTGGCCTCCAGTCGTCGCAAAGAATTACGATACGTGGAAAAAGCTGGCAGATGTCTGGAACCTACTGGATGCAACTTTGGAAAAAAGAGCGGGCTCTGGACAGTTTTTCAGAACGGCGAACTCGAAAATCGAGGATGGCAAAGTATTTTGCGAGCTGGGAGTACCAGAAGCGTCACTGTCATATCACGGAACCGATTGCACAGTGGCCTGTGCAAAGATTTTGTATGAAGCGATTAAAAGAAAAACGGCTGATTTGATACCGTTACCGGAACTCAAGAGGATGGAGCCCCAGCTGCTGAGGACAGCAGCTTCGGAGAGGGGAGGCATGTGGGTAGAACCCAGATCGCTGCATCGACCTACCAAGCGCCGGAGTGATCTGAGCGGGAACCAGGATGCTATTTAAGGACGTCAAGAAATTGCAGAAGGGAACGTCTCCGCCCGGACCCCTCCATTCCCCTCTATACTGGACCTTTTTTTTCTAATTGTTTTCTTCGCTAGGAGGCTTATACCTCCTGTTGTTCGTTATTTCGTTGCAACCGCGTCGATTATTGTATCGTCGTTATAAAATAAATTGTTATTTGTAATCGTGTGCGCTCTGGCTCATACCGTTGGAAACGGTCGATACTTTCATTGCGAATTGACGATTCGGTACAGGAACTGCTTCTATTTAATGAATAAAATTTCAGGTTTTCTGGATCCCCGTTTCCTGAGCAAGACAAAGCGCGCGAACACACCACCAGGGTGAAAATCGTGTCGAGGACGTGGTCACATCAGTACGACCCCCCCCTCAGATCGGGGTCTGATACGACCCCTCTAACTTTGATTTGATGTGAATAAGCGAGTTCCATCAATGTACAGCAAAGCATTCAGTTGCAGCGCGGTTTATCCGTGGGTCAGATTTGCCGAAACCCCGCTCGAAACCGTCGAAATCTACACTCTCGATGAAAAGGGTTCCATTCCCCCATTTCATAACCTTTGGAGCAGTATGTGGTAGGGTTAGATAGAGCTGGATTTGCTACTACCGGGCAATATTGAAATTGATCTGAAAGCTTTACACTCGAAGAGATAGGGTATCTAGAAACATTCTCCCAACGTAAGCATTAAGAAAAGGGCAATCGTCATCATCCGATTTTCGTCTCAGTATAGGCCATGCATCCGACCTTCACTCGAAGTTGCAGAATCGATTGAAAGGTGTTATATGATCATGACCAGTTGACAGAAGCTGCATTGTAGTAAACACATTTCGTAATCCTTATAACCTAGGGAAGAGCTTCATTTGCCCTCCGAAAGGGAGGGGGTCGCAAAAATTTTGAAATCTGCGCAACGCACGTTTGACCCTGCCCAGACACCTGCATGCTGTGGGCGATAGAAATGGGAGCTGTGGAGGCCGAATCTGCAAGCACCAGCGCCCTTGTTGGGTACTCTATAGCTGAGAGAGTGGTACATCCGTGACCTTCCTGCTCAGCATAGATCTAAACTTTAGAAGGATCCAGCGCTTCATATATGTCCTACAACAACGCACCAAAAGTTTACCACTGGTAGCGATGGGTTAAAGGCAGATGGTGCAAGTGAATCGATATCTTTCTATAATAATAGCGATGTTAAGAGGAAGTGCAGGGAAGAAAAATCAGGAAAACGGCCGGAAATCCCATGAGAAAGACCTTCGTTTCCTCGTTCTTTTCTAGGTTGGGCGAGTCTCATCGGAGCCGACGTTGACGGCGAGTACATCTTCCGCTGAGTCTCTGCTTAAACATCAGGGCCCAATGGCGGGGTCCAGCAGCTGCGGTGGCCAACTGGAGGGTGGACAGAGGGAAGAAGACGCCTAGTGGACGGGTCAAACTGTGACACGTCGCTGCGAGTGCACCAAAAGTGCCACCTCTCGTCCTTAAAGATCCGCCTCCATCTATAGAGGACGCACGGTCCTTGTTTCAACATCCTTATACTTATCTCAATGTCTATGGTAAGCGAAGAGTACAGCCTACTTGTCTGTCATCGAGCTCTGCGGTCTTAAAGAAACCTTTCGCAGTATTAAACGTGGGGCGTTGGATGAGCGCTTTCGTTTATGTGATGTAGTAGCTCGACTGCGGAACAATGAATAGGGGTGGAAGTGGGGAGAGCAAAGGTGAATGAATTTTTGATGATACTGCTACTTAGGCTCATAATCTTTCAATTAAGGTATCTTGTTGTCGATGTGTTGAATCTGATGATCCTCTGAGACAGGTGCGTATACTAGAGATGGGAGAAAAAATCCAGGCGAGAGAGCACGCCGCTCGACTGGTTGTCATTAGCTAGAGAGCTAGATCATTCTTACTGATCAAGCATGTTGTGTATTGCTTACCACGTTCCCGCGGGTGGGTGGGTGGATTGATTGTAGTGGATGGTAGAGCGTTGTGAAAACGGTGTTTGGTTGTGGGCTTTTTGGGGTGGGGTATTTCATTTTTGTAGTGGGTGATGGTGTGGCTCTTTGGGGGGGCAATTGTGTTTGGTGGCTCGCTTTTTTTATCAGGGATTTAGCGCCCTGACCAGGTAGCGTCATTTCTGGGGATGAGGTAATATGATGCTAGGTGGGTACGGACGTGCAGAGAGATTGCGCTTAGCGGTATCGTGCCAGTTTGAGTCTGGCGGGGTGGTGAACGCTCGGGGTTTGCCGTGTTAATAGGTCCAAGTTGCTAATCCCGGCGTTTGACTTCTCATGGGGGGGGTATCTAAGTAAAAGTAGTCTCACAATTCTGCTACAACGGATGTCTTGCAAGACGGAAGCAGGTGGGTGATAGACATATCCGTACAACGGGTGGTTGGAATTACTAGTGTGATCGTGTTCATATCCCTGTTGCTATCCGAGTTATAGAGGTGAGACTTCTTGTTTTATTTGAGGCGCTTCGAATCAGGTGAATGTTTTCAGTTGTCTCATCTTGTTTGCGTGTGGTTTTATAGTTTTTTTTCTCTCTTGTATCCTTCTCCATAGGTGAAGATCGGCCTAGGTTCTGCAAAATATCCTCTCAGTACCACTTTACCTGAAATGCAAGCCGTTCAAAAGAAAGGCTTTGGTTAGGGGAGCAGTCTTCAGTGGTCCGTCAGCGTTGCGACAACCTTTTATGACTAGGAAACAAGGAATGAGTCTGAGCTACGGATTGAAGGACAGCATGAATCTGATGCAGCCACTACCCCATCACTCACTCCAACAGCAATTAAAAATTTTGCCGAAGCACTACTTGACCTAAATGGGTTAGCCCAAGTAAGATAATGTTGGTGCGACAGGTCATGTCGCATGAAAGAATCTAGTTCTGCGCAAACCCACGGGGATATCCTAACTTTGCGAAAACTGGACCGTCTGTGGGCGGCGGCTGCCGCCCGCTACCCGCTACCCCTGAATCAGGCAGGAGTACAGTAGAGAGGAACGTTGTAGAACCGGACATTCGCGCACTATCGCCGACCGTATTAACAAACCTCACTGGGGTCAAAAATATATTCGCTTGGAACTTTCCCTACAGAAGGTTATTGACGGCCCTGACCACGAATATGACATCCATTTTTGACATCCAAGTTGATATAACACTCGTTTTGACATTCGTGCTATTTACTGCATATGTCATTACATTATTGCTCACTTATAGCGCCGAAACGACTAGGCTTAGGGGGGGAAGAGACTCCGAAAAGGGTAAACCGCGCACCCCTGTGGCCGCAATTTGAAGAGGGTGAGATCATAGAGTGGGCGGCTTACTCACTCTGGAGCCATTCACTGTAAAAAAGCTTAGCCCTAATTGCGATACAGCAGGGAGAGGGCTCAGGGTGCTATCTTAGTTGGGGGGGGGGGGGGACCGCGGCAGCGCGGCGCTCTGTTCGCCTCCTCCTGCAAGGCTTAGTCCTCGATGGCGTCTATTTCGAAACTGTCATGTGATGGCGAAATAGTAACGCGGCTCTAAACAAGTGGGATGGGCAGCTTTCACGCCATTGTCAGGTGGCTGCCGGCTCACGCCCCCCCCCCCAATCACACACACACGCCTAGTGGCTCACTCCCCCGTGGCTCAACGGATTATTCCCCGATGTCTGGTGACAGCTACAGCAGGCGTGGCAGACGAGGTCCTACTGACATACTTTTCTGTTCAAAAAATGCGGCGACCTTACTTGTATAGCACCGTAATACTGCCCCATGGGACTTAGCCTTTTGAGGAGGCAGACGAACACAGCGCCGCGCCGCCCCGTGCCCCCCCCCCCAACTAAGATAGCACCGAGCTCAGAAAAGCAGAAGATGTGCAGCCGAAATCAGTAACGAGGATATCAAAAAGGGGCGTGTCACGATTCGCAGAACAGCGGCCCAAAATAACCCTATCACATAATTTACAGCGGATTTTGGTGGCGAATCCACTAGTTGGCGCTGATTGGCGCCAAGCGTCACATATGAGTGTCACCATCGGTGATCAGCGGCCCGTCGAGTAACCCCCATAGTGAAATGTTGGCAGCGAAACTTAATTCGTTTGATTAATTTCACCCCCATAATTGTGCAATAACGCGCGGAATTCAAATGAAGCACAGATGAGTAAATGACCTCATTTGGACGAGGAATGGAAGGAAAGGATGAATTGGAATACAGGAAAGGAACCAATCCTTGATGATTTGATATACGTTTTGGAAGGTGGAGCAAAAAAATCGATATCGGGGAAAAGAACGTGTACCCAAAGACTGATGTGATGAAATATCTAGTTTAGGATAGGAACTGTCGATGGATCGAAGCAGGGCCATCGGTCGCGGGAGCCGGACGCCACGCGCTGCTCGGTTGGCGATGAGACAGCTGTCCAGATCTGCATCAGGTTGAACGGGGTTTTGGTCGTACCTGTTCTGGTAAAAACGTCATATGAAAATTAATGAGTTCATGTTTGATGGCTTTGCATAACTCTAGACAGTAAATTGCAAAGGACGGCCAATACTTCCGTCTGATTTTTCGATAAGCTTTGTCGCCTACAAAATATTCTCTTGACTGGGAAACACGAGTGGTGGACACGGTGTTACCACTACGAGCCATTCATTCACCGCACCACAGGGATCGCAGAGTCGGATCCTTACCACGATAAGGTTGTCTTCCATCACTGTGGTCCTTTTTGTAGGCGCAGGGCTTTCCGACAAACAGGAATGATGGAAACTGAATCAAAGGCAGTTGGAGCCACAATTCGTACGGGGCAGATCCGCTTCCAAATGGCTCCGCCGTTTCGGGAAGGGGTCGAGTGCATAGCACATCACCGAAGGATCGATCAGTTCTGGTAATTCTTTATCGCAGGGGAAGTCATTCCCATGGTTCTTGCTTGGGCTGCTCAAATGGTATTCCAGTGCGAACAACGGACACCAGTGGTGGACGCGAAACTTGCCATATGAGCACCAAACTCCTGCGGAATTGCTGTTACCCAAAGCTACAGTTTGTGGAATAGGCGATTTCAATTTTGGACACTGTTCTTTGCTTACTTCGAGGCAGATGACTGGCTGGCCGACAGGTTCCTTTTAGGGTTCGTGACCTTTAATTACATGAGCCATTATTTGTGTGGCGCATTTTCTCGCTTGGTGTTCCCCATGGTTAATTTACTCGAGGTTTCGGAACCAGGACTAGTGAACTTTTTGCATGGACTTTTAGCATGCTTAACAGAACATTGGTGTTTTGATGTAGATGCAAGGGTTCTCGTGTTGAGCTCGCTTTGAGTTTCCAAACTTAGGAGTTTTCAAACTTTTGACGCACGGTTTCTTATAAAGAAACCGTATTTTTCAATGCGATCTTCGATTTGAAAAAGCTATGTTGCATATCGTGTTCTACACTTGATTTTGTATATAATATGTGAATTCGGGACAATTTCATTGTCTACTGGCTACGCTAGAAAAAAAATAAAAAAGTTTCCAAACTTTTGACCGCTACTGTAAA